GGAATGCCCTTGAGGTGGCGTTTTGCTTGTGGTTTACAAAAAGGCCAGTGCTTCTGTGGGGCAGGGTGGACTGGCCAGAGAGACCCCGGATAATGTTCCAGAAGCAATGCAATCCCTGCCCCAAATTCCCTGTCTCCCTTCCCCACTTTTTTTATGTCTGTATAGCTATTTTTTTTCACCCAACACTTTATTATGAATGCTTTTAAGCATTCAGAAAAGTTGAAAGAATCAGAGCATCTTATTTTTTTAATGAACTTCAAAGTAACCTAGGACATGTCACCCCCATCACTCAGCCTGCATCTCACTACACAGGGCTCACTAGTAGTTCACAGCTCTTTTACTTTTAGATGCTGTTTCCACATGGTGAAATTCACACATCATAATTGCACCATTCAATGTGTTTTGAGACATGCATACACACATGTCCCCCAAACTCCAGCCGTGACGTAGAGCACTTCCATCACCCCAGAAAGCTCTCCTTTGCCCTCCCAGCCAGTCTCACCCAGGGGTAGTCACTGCTCTAAGTTGCTCCATCATACGTTGGTTTAGCTTGTCGTATAAATGGCATCTCACGGTGTGCGCTCTTTTCTGCCAGGATCCTTTTACTCAGCATATGATTTTTTAATGTATCCCTTCATGTTTTTCATTGCATCAATAGCTCACTTCATTTTTTTATTGAGGTATCATGGACATCTAACATTATATTAGTTTCAGGTGTACAAGATCATGACTTGATATTTGTATGTACTGGGAAATGATCCCCACAATCAGTCCCCATACATAATTACAAACATTTTTCTTTCCTGTGATGAGGACTTTTAAGATCTACTCTCTCAGCGACTTTCAAATACGCTCAGTCCTTTTTTAACAGCGTACCTATATGATGGATTGTTTAATTATTCTCCTCTTGGTGGGCTGCTTCTAGCTTGGGGCTATTGGTGTGTATTGATTTTATAACACAAGCAAAATGAAAAGAGGCCGACCGTGGAGACAGGAAAATGTAGAGAATGAAGACAGCTCGGGACTCCCCTGGGACCTCAAAGGCACCAGCTCACATGCTGGCAGCCCCTCTCTGCCATCAGGCACTGGTAGCCCTTACCAAACCGGAGCAATTCACCGCCTCCCCCCACGCCCATCCTCTTTGGGAACATGCAGCTGAGTCAGATGGGGCCCTCACCTCCTTCCCACTTCTACTCTGCCCATCCCTCCCTAGGTCCTTTTCCTCTTCCAAGTTCACTGGGCCCCTGCTGGCTTTATCCCCCAGCTGACGCTGATCTCACCCTAACTTTCCCTGGGGGGGCCGGCTTCTTACCTCCCCAGCTAGTCCCAGTGCTCTAAGGGCAGATGCCTGGGTCTAAGGGCAGATGCCTGGGTCTTGAGCATTCTGTCACTCCACGCAGCACCTAACTGCCCCAACTCCACACACTGTATGTTTAAGTGAGCATCTGCTGATGATGCTGCGAGAGAGAGAGAGAGAGAGAGAGAGAGAGAGAGAGAGAGAGAGAGAGGGAGGGAGAGAGAGAGAGAGAGAGAGTGTGTGTGTGTGTGTGTGTTTGTGTTATGTGTAAGGCAGTGAGGCTGGATGGCAAGGGGCACGACTGGAGAGCTGGGTGGGGAGACTGACCACGGTGAAGGTTGGCTTTAAGCCTGATCTTTTTAAGCAAGAAAGTCAGAGGGCACCAAAATTACCTTTTGCCCCCCAGTGGAGGCAAACTTGCATATGGTAAAATGCACAGATCTCAAGTGGACTGTTGGATGAGTTTTGACAAACGCGTGTACCCAGGTAACCC